CAAAGGGTATTGTGGAAAATCTACAATTTCATTACGGGCCTATTATGTAAGTATTGATTTTTTTTTGCCAATAATCAAAAGCCATACAGCTGATCAGATGGTGATTGATTTGCTTGCACATGAATGGTGGGGCCTGAGCAAACCACACTCATTTCTTGTTCTTGTGGATGTCCTTTGGGGTTTAGTTGGAGTGCTTGTGTTTAATTTTCTTTTAAGAACTTTGGTCTAGATAAAAACACCGGTGGAGCGGTTTAGCTTTCTAAACCTAATGTAGCAACAATTATAAACATGAAAACGTTTTTAAAAAATAGGTCGTTCTTGGGTACTGGACCTAGAGAATTCCTAAAAGGTATAGATAAAACTTCTAGCTGCTTGCACTCTGTTGCACCTATGTAGGCTGACTCATTTCTTTTTTTCTCTGCTGTTGTGGAATTATTGAAAAATAACCTAAGCTGATTATCAGCTCCGTGAGGAAGGCCTAATTGACAGTGAGGCTTGCAAGATATTTCTAACTGCCCTAGACTCTGCTTGCAGGTTTCAAGTAACAATAAAACAGCTCCAATGAATGCTGTTCTGTATTCATTGAAAAATCAGAAAATGTATTTTGAATGCAAATAGAATAAGTAGCTCCTTTTGACTTTGTATCAGCCTTTTTCCTTTCCTTGCACCCAAACTAGGAGAGGGTGGCGCAGCATTAAACGCTAATCAGGAATCCTAACAGAAGGACAGAAGAAAGAGATTACCTGGTTAGTTGTCTTCTGTTTCTGCATTGTCCATTCACAGGTTGGTGGCAGAGAGCTGACAAGGCTGCATTACATAACCGTAGTCAGAAGCGGAGTTGGGTCACCACTCTGCAAATACTCTCCAGCAGAGTTGTGTAAATTGTAGGACCTTTCTGGACAGGAATTTCTTGGCATGTAAACGCATATCAGTAATTCACTTAGGTATTTATCAGTTTGTCTGGGGTTCAGCTTTAAGTAAAGACAAATTGCAGTTGCTGTTTCTAAGGCTTCATGCACATGGGGCTTTTATGCAGATACTTGCAGCAGGAATCCCAGGTGGGTCCAACTCCATACAGATGTGCCCACTGTGCCCATTCAAGTGAATGACAGGCTGCTTACCTGCAGATTGGCATAGATGCTTGCCCCAAATGCAATCTGTCTCTGTTCATGGACAAACATCTATACCGATTTTTCAGTTAATCATTCCATATATGATTACATGCAGACAGCCATGGACAGATGTGGCTGCTGTCTGTCTGTCATTCACTTGAATGAATACAGCAGCCACATCTGTAAGGACACACCTGGGATTCCTGCCACAGGAATCCCCAGATACACATAAAAGCCCTGTGTGCATGTAGCTTATGTGTCTGCAGTCCCATCTCAGTGGTTATGTGGTAGCCACATTTATTTTGTCAAATTATGAATAATTATCAGGCCCCCATCATCCACGTAATTATACGTCAAATCATTAGCAGTGCTTTTGCTCCCAGAACATGCCCAACTAAAACCAGGACTATAAAATGCCACCTGGCTATTATTTCAAGCTCAATCCAGGATGAATATCTACAGTTGGGCAACCTTAGTTGAACAAGATACATAATGTGTTAGAGAGTGTATCTATTATTTTATGTAGTTTACAGACACTGGATGGATCACTTGTATGAACCATAGTTGGAAGACATACACATTGGCATTGGACAAATGTGTATGTTTGTGGTTCTGGAACAGGGACGAGGAGCTTTGGCAGTGCAGCAGTGGGGGTCCTAGGGGACCCCATTAGAGGCTGATTAGAAAAACTAAACTGTGACTTCAGTCCTTCTCTTCTGGAAACTTCAGAGTTTAGGATTGCTTAGTCACAGATCACCCTCCGTGCAGTAAAAAGTATTTGCGTATTTATCTTTGGGGGGGGGGGGGGGGGGCAGGCAGAGCGGCATGTTGGCAGTGCAGCAGTGGGGGTCCTAGGGGACCCCATTAGAGGCTGATTAGAAAAACTAAACTGTGACTTCAGTCCTTCTCTTCTGGAAACTTCAGAGTTTAGGATTGCTTAGTCACAGATCCCCCTCCGTGCAGTAAAAAGTATTTGCGTATTTATCTTAGCAGGGTACATCTGAACTTCTTCTACAGACTGAAATGAACCTTGTGTGCCTAATGCCATCACAGATCCCAGAGTTTATCCACTGTTAAAACCATATAGGAGGTTTGAGGTTTGTGGCTCTACAAAAAAAAGTTTCATGATGCTAGAGTTTGAAGAAGTTTGTATTAGGGTAGAAGAGTAAGTGTGTGCAAGAGCATTATTCATTTTATCATAATATAAAATATCATTGTCCACGAACAGATCCCCTGCTCATCGGAATGGGTGTTACTTTTATGACATCTGTGTCCCTTCAGTTTTTCCTTCATCTTGTAGTGGAGGAAAGAATGAACTAACGGACTCATGTTAGGTCTATGAGCAGTCAGATGTAAGCCAATATGCACACGTTTACAGTTATCTCTGATCCATTGCAATCAGGTCCAGCAAAATGGAATTTGCCTCCACTTTTTTTCCAGACCTAGACAGAGTCAGGGGTAATCGGATGTTACATCCAGCTGCCCATAGAGTTACATTTGGCTTCCGATCAGATCCGCCTGAAAACTGACAGGTGGATCTAATTGCACTGCTAGTGTGAAAGTTGTCTGTTCAATCAAGGCAGATTTTTGGTTGCATGATTTTTTTTTTAAATGAACACATATCTAATGAAGCATTTTGTCTGGGTACAGTGATAGCGTGCACACCACTGACTATACCTATGTGAAGATGCTAGTTGTTGGCCTAGAACTGTCACAGAGTTACATGCTCCTTATCACTTGGGTATCTTCCTTGCTCTTGCCAAAATGAACAGAGAGGTTAGAGCAAAAATGATGCTGATGATTCAATGAATAGCACTGCAAAACAGGAAGCAGAGCTTGCATTTGCAGCTATGGCTGCTCCCATGTATATACGTAATTGGAAAAACATTCAAAGAAACAAGATTTTTAAACATTAACACTCAGAAAATGATTTCCATCAAGTTTATGACTTTAACATGTATATCAGAAAAAACTAAAAAGGCTTTACATCTCACCAGTGATAACATTTTCCAAAATTCACCCTACTGTTATGGTGACAAAACCAGGTGACGGTGTTACACTTTCCTGATGGTTTTCCATAATTAAAATAAAGAAATATTTAGTCTAGCTGTGAAATTGCGACACAGTTGACAAAGACAAAAACTACTTCAGGGGAAACCTTGCCACTGGGCTCTGTGCTTTAAAAAAAAAAAAAAAAGAATGTTAGCTGTACCGCTGTGTAGAATACACGTTGTGCTAGGAATTGTAAATGTACGGAGAAAATGCATGTGTAAACAATAGGGGTCACTTGTTAAAAGATGCAGGGCAAATATGCATGGAGAATTTCAAATTCATGCCCTACTTATTAACATTGTGTAGGCATTGTAATGCATATCCAGGTATTGTTCCGTATCAAAAATCCATTAGTTTTCAAAATGAAAAGAAATGTTATAAAAGAAGTAAGAAATTTAATTTACATGTGCTTCTGAAGTGGTAAACACTTTGCCATTATCTTGTTGAGGATGAAATTGTATCAGTTGTTATGGAAACCATAATATAATAAGTCTCTGCAGATAATGTACAGAATCTATCCGCATAATGTACAAGTATGTGGCTGTACAGGAAAAATATTTGTGTAGATGTGCACATACAGATATGCAGATTTTGATGATTTGTTGATATCTGGTGGTGCAGCACCAAAACAGCAAAGACTGATGTCATATCTGTCATTTTAGCTGCATACCCTACACTACTGCTGTGTATTCTAGATGAGGCCTTCATAACTGACATTTGTAACTGCACATCCAGATCACTGAACGACATGAAGACATCAAATCCATCAAAGCAAATTAAGCCATGTTAATAGGGTGCTGTTAGAATGACCTAGAGCAGCATTTCCTGATTATTTGGGATGATTTTTGCTGAGCCAGCTTCCATGGCTGAAAGCGGTCTAAGAAATACCTTTGTAGTTTGGGCTTTAAATTTAGGAACGTACTTTGAGGCTGGTGGGTTTGGATGCAAGATGATGTCACTATGATTTACCAACATTGAACCAGTCATTATACACATCAGGAACACACCTGCACACGTGTAGTATACCTGCTAAGATTCTTTGCAACTCATTGACTTGAATGGTTGGTAGCAAGGATCCAAAGGAAAGGCCTTCTACTGCAACTCTGTTTATTGTGAAACTCTCACCGAATTCCAGAGGCTTGATATGATGCGTGTAGCAATGCTTAACCATAAAGCCTTATAATTAAGTTCAGACACAGAAATGTGTAAGGGCTCTGCCACCTATTTGATGAACGCTTTAAAGCAAATACAGTTGACAGTGGCCAATTGTGGGGCTTTACCTCTCTTTGGGACCCTACTGTGAAAGACCTTAAGAGGTACCACCTCTTGCATTAAGTGCATGCCTAGCTCCCATAAGGGAGAGAGGTACCTCTCTTTGTTTTGCAAGGTTTTATTTATCTGTAGGATCTGTGACCAATGATTTTCCTAAGTGATCAGACCATCTCAGGCTGGCGATTGTAACATATCTCATAGCTTTAAGCTATAATAAAAATGCAAAAATATGGAAAATCCCCCACTTGGGGAAAAAAGTTAATGGGACATATTATATGCAAATGTATTCATAATGAAGCATGTTTTTGTCTTGGTTAATACCTTTTATATATGCAAACTGAGCAGCACTGTGTGACATAACTATTTAATAACATATAATAACAACCATTTGATCATCATTTTGCTTACTAATGCACTTTGCCCTCATTAAGAATGATAAAAGTCCACAATGAGCTTGTGTAGCACCTTTTTATTACCTTTGTGTAAAGTAATTGCAGTGCTAAAATATAGCTCATCCTATCGATGCAAATATCTTACTGACGTCATGTTGTTCTTTCTCCTCAGGTATCTGAGCCACAGGCTGTGCTCTGTCTGTTTCCTCTTCATCCCACCTGTTTAATGAGCAGGGCACAAGACTCCCGAGAAGGACAAAATGAAGACAAGGCTGTAAAAAACAACTGCACCAGAACAAAAATGTAGATTTCCTTAAAGCCATAGATTATTCACGTACATTTTGGTTGAAACGACGCCAAGCCATGGTGAACTTCAATAAGGCCTTTCTGACCTCTGGGTCAGAAAGACACAAAGTGAGGACACACGCTAAATAGTCACTCACCATTTCAAACTCAAGCAATGCACTAAATATAGCATGGGTGATAAAGAAAGGAGGAGACGTTGAACATTGATAAATCATTTACATGAAGCAACCATTTAGAAACTTTAAGTCAGAGTGAATTGCATGTAATGGAAAAGCCTCTCTTCTCAGCCTCATTTTGCCTCCTGGGATAGGGGATACAATGCTTGACTTCCAAAGCAATGCCGCTGTGGTCTTTTGGCTCGTTTCCCAGGTTAACAGCTATTGGCTTGGTTACAACGCTTGCCTCATCTCTTGAGTGTTCCCCATGCAGACACCATGGATCGTAAGGATGGGAACTGTGATATCATGTACGTGGTGCTCCGCCACACACATTTATTTCACCAATGTTGTGGTGAAAGCAGCGGCTTTGGTGAAGAGCTGTTGTTTCAAAAAGGTGGTAACAACTAGTCAATGGAAATGCAGGAGCACGTGTACGACTCTTGCTGTAAGATGTAAGCACTTTTCTGTTGACTGTCTTTCTAATGCTTCATGTAATAATGTACATTATGTATGTGTGAGCCTGACCAAATTAAGTCCAGTTGAGTGGTCCTTGGTGGGTTTCACCTTTCTAATAATAAAAAAAAGGGGGTAATTTTGCCATTGTCGTAATGGTGAGCGAGATTTCTGAATTTAATTCATTGTTCTATGTTTGTGGTGATGATCATGACAACTTTCTGAAAGGTTTGTCTTCCAGTCCAGACATGAAATATATGGGTTGTAATATCCTTCCAGTGTACAAATTCGCTTTGGATAGCCAGTTGTGGTACATTGGTCAATATATTTTATCAAAAATCCCTTTTTGTTACTAGAAAAAAGAGTGAAAATGCCAGTTCAGTGCCACTGTATCTTCTGTAAACATTGCATCTAATGGCTTGTTAAAGAAGAGGAGCTGACATTCTACTCTTGGAAGAAACCAGTTATTATAACAACACTATAATTATGAGAGTAAAGGATGCACATTTGAACAGAAAAAGATTCACAAATGTGTGCTTAGGTGACCAGTGTATCGTGGTTTGGCACCTGATTTTGTTCTTGTGTAGATACATCTGCCATCTGACCAAATGTTTCTTACTAATGTACAAACATCAACATTGCTTAAAGTAGGTTGTACAGTATCCATGTTTAAAGTCATCTTGATGTCTTCATTACCAGTTGTTGACCACTTTCAGATATTTACATCTGGAGTGACTTTTATCCACCACCTCACTTTAATGGCCAACAGTTTTTTTTTTTCTGTTCCAGAGCAGTTGGAAGTAATTACGAAGACCAGGCCAAATCTTTATGAACCGGCTGAGTAGTAGAGACATTTAAAGGGTCTTGTGTACATTTCATATCATCTTGATATGAATAGATGTGAAACTTTGAATTTCATAATGAGATTCTGTTTGTATGAGCTAAAGTTCACGATTATGTATATTCATGGATTGGTTATTGCTGATTGATGTAGAGCTTGACCTAAACTGTTGGGTGCTGGCCCTGCATTTGGTGTTGGTGCTTTTTGTCTACATTATTTTGAATTGGATTCACCAAGGATTGCATGGACTTCATAGCATGTGCAAGCAATTTTTAAAAGAGGAACAGGACTGCTCCTTGGGAAGGCCCAACCATAGCAAATTTTTCCTAAAGAGGAAGAAAGGAAATGGAAGAAAAATTTGGCTCATACAAAATGAAAACCATTCAAAAAAATTTAAACCAAATGCACGTCTGTATTTTGTTGAAAAATTACATTTGTCTGTTTATAGTGTGTGAGAAAATGTTCATTTCTGAGCAGTCGTTGACTGTAAAGCCATACAAAACAGTGTAAAAATATAAAAAAAGGAATAAAAAGAACATGTGAAACATGGCGTGTGGCACTTATTAAAAGTTATTCAGTTGAACAAAATTGACAAATGTTGCAGGTTTTTATTTATGATCTGTGACTAACCTGTGCGGTCAACCAGAAATCTGCCCCACTTCTTCTGCAATAGAGGCCTATAAATGCCCTGCATGAAACATTACCTCTTCCTCACAGCAGATATCGTTTGATAACACAAGGAATTCCGTTCAGCAGCCTTCCAGTAATTACATACATCTGAATGAAATCCCCTAAAAACCTATGACAGTCTTCAGTGTAGGTACCCCATGTTGGGAGATATGAAAAGGCCTTGCACAAAGGCGACTGGCAGACATATCAAACTATACATTGTAGCCCAAAGCCAATAACCCACTATAATATTTCTGCAAGAGCCGATAAAGTAGTGCATCACAGCATGGGCATGGTTTATGAAGTGTTAGAAAACAGTTGTGTTGTGAAATGGACCTGAAGAACAGAAGAGATCAGATTACACACACTGCTGAATGACTCTGAGAAGAGCACAACCCCTACTTCTCTCCTAGTAGAAATGGGAATATCTGGTTTGTGCTAGGGCTATATGGGTGCTTTTTGTGTGTACAGTTCTGGTACTAAAATCTAATGAGCAAATATACTGTTAATCTGAGCTGCTTTACAAGAGATTTTGATGACTGAGTTATATATCACTCACATTCGCATGATGCTCCTAGAATGTATTAAGCTTATTTAAGTATAACGTTCAATTGGGGTTCTATAGGGGGTTTATACCTTTTTTTTTCATTGTGGGTAAATAAACAACACTTATTAATGACCTGCTTGCACTTTGACATGAAAAGAGTATCTTTCTGTTGATTGGTTAAAAAAAATCCAATGTAGCTAAATGTTTTATAGTAATAAAACATTTAAAAGAGAACTATGGGGTACGTTTTTTCCCCATAGTTCTCTTAAGGGTCACGGGAGGACATATACTAGTGTCCTCCCATGACCCAAAGCTCAGTATATCGCAAGCTACAGCTCGTGGTATACTGAGACCGCCACAGACGGGATGTATCCCGACAATGCTGTTGAGATCCACCCAGCTGCGTGAGTGACAGCAGGCTCTGCCTATCTAGAGGCAGAGCCAGGTGTACCTGCCCCCTCCCCGTCCGTTCCTCCACTCAGCACTGGAGGATAGGAGCAGAGGGGGGATCCCTGCGTTGAGCGGTTAATGACACTGACTGGTCTCTGGAGAGAGATGATCGAGAAGTGAGCAGGCGACGGCATGCGTTCGCTCACTTCCCAATCTATTGAGCCGACGTGTGAAAGTTTCATTGTCACGCGTCACTCACCTCATAGTTCTCCTTTAATCTACCACAGTGGTGAATACATTTTATTGGAATGTTATATATATATATACATATATACATGCTCTTAAGGACAAGGTCCCACCTTTTCCTGTCATACCGTACTCTACTAGGTGTAATGATTGAGCGAGTTTGGCTGAGGATCTCAGCTGCGGAGAGGCTTTGTGGATGGCTCAGGTGGGGGGTTCACACTTACACTCTTTAGTGTGGCTGAGTGAGGTTGGAACCCTTAACACATCATATGCCACCACAGGCTGTAATTGCAGAGATAACAACAAGTGAACCTTCCCTCTTTGCAATATTGTGGTTAGTTGGGGCCTGTGGGGATTTGTAGTTCAAAATCAAATAGCAACTACAGCAACTTGGCAGAGGAAAGAAAAGTAGTCCCGTATTTGTTTTGGTATACAGTAGTTCACTCCACTAATGCATAACACTATTGCAGGCTTATCAAACAGTAATTAGGAGTACTCCTGAGCAAGCCCCCTTTGTAGAGCAGTGTCTCTTTAAACCCCACTGAGTTGCAGGCAATGTAAACAATTACAGAGTCCAGGATGGTACTTGCGGTTTGTTGGGGTATTCAGAGCCCTCCAGGAGTACAGGGCGAAGGATCACTGCTGTGCTGGAAGAAGTCCGGATTAATGCTGCTGGAGTGAAAGGTTCATGTGCTGGAGCAGAGGTATGAGCCCTAAGAAATTGCTCAACGTTCTACCTCGCTAGAACATTGAGCAAGTGTGCCTTCCAGGCTTTTATGGGTAGGCAGGTGTGTTGGGGCGGAGCAGTCAGCAGAGGCCCTCCCGAACGTCTCCTAGCAACGGGATGCTTCCGAAGGGCCAGGCTGCTACGCCCTCACTCCTATGTGTGACGAGTCCGAGGGAGACGTCTGGAGGGAGGAGCCGAATACGCAAGCCTGCCGGCCCGTCTCCTAGCACCGAGACGGCGCCGCGGTTCGTGACACTAGGTCTGTGAATGCTTTGGCATCAGGCAGCTGTTTCCTAGGTTTGCAAGTTTGCCATCTGGTCTTTAGTTCGAACATTCTCTAGGTTTTTTCAGGTGGCTGTTAAGGCCTCATCTGATGCTTTAGGTGTAAGGTCCTTCAGGCATTTTTTTTTATCCCTTTCGCTGCCGGTGCCATATTCCGTAAGGCACAGACAATGGTTCCCTGTAATAGGACTTCCGGTCCATTTACCTGTTTAGAGTCGACTATTTGCTTCACACTGGAAATTATTCCGGCAGCAGAACAGCCACCGAATTGCTTTCAAGGCCCAGTACACAGAGTCCCCCCTCCCGACACCATCCACCTTGCTACCTGGCCTCCACTGCTTCTACTGCAGGCTGAAGAACGGCTTCTTGGGTGTCAGCAGGAAGTGAGATCTCCTCGCCGCTGAATGAAGCCGGAAGCAACTCTGATTGCATCACATCACGCTTTTCAGCTGTCATTCCCCAGCTAGAGGAGCCAGGGATGAAGCTGATAAAGCACAATTTGCGCTTGATCAGCTTCTTTGAAGTGCAAAGGTGACATCAAGGGTCTAATAGACCCCTAATGTCACCTTATAGGAACCTTTCACCTCCAGTGTGCTATCACAGAGCAATGGAGTTGGGTAAAAAAAAACCAGTTTTTAAAAAATAAATAAAATACTCCCCCCGAAAAAAGTCCCCACGAACACGTGCATACTAACGCAAACACACCAGCCAGAGTGAGAGCAATAATTCTAGGGCCAATGTAATCAATATTAATGGGAAACTCTAAGCTGTTGATCTGTCCATTGTTGCCTATGGACAATTTGGGGTACTAAATCACAGGGGCCTGCAATTTTTTAAGCGTGGCATGTTGAGCATCTACAACTCGGTACAACCTCTTTTATATTGTACAAACAAATTGGGTATTATATTGTGTTTTTGTGCACAAAAATGAAAGGAAGTGTATTTTTTACTGAAATCTTGGGTTTAATAAAGAGTTGTGCCAATATGATGTGACATACACATTTGCAAATGCCACCATTTTAAGTAATTCTCAGGCCTAACATGTGGATTATAACGTGTGCAAAAAAACACAAAAATGTCTTTGGCAGTGAAAGGCTTGCCCTCAGCTTTACTTTTTTGTTGTGTACCTGTGATTTGTTTCTGTTGAGCATCCCTCAGTTGGACTGCTTTTGGAAATCCCAATTAACTCTGAATAACTGAAACCTGTGTCCCTCAATGAACAAAAAAGAAACCATGATGTTGCTACTTACTGTAAACTTTGTTTTTATGGTTTAAAAAAAAAAATTGGGGTGAAGAAATAAAAAATATTAAAATATTTTATGAAAATATCATTTTGCAAATGTGCTTAAAAAAAAGACAAAACTTTCTCTTAAATTGACTTGTAATCAAGCAATAAAAAAAGCACACAAAGATTTGTTGGTAAATATGAGTGCAGAATTTTCTGTGACAGACCTGGAGGGGGAATCATGACTTGGAAAATGGATCATTTGGTTTTCTGTCAGGAATAGAGCTGAAGCTGTGTGCATGTTTGTGACAAGAGAAAAGTGACAAGCAAGATGGCATATGACTGCAGGCACCAAATTATGACTTCATG